GATGGACAGTCTCTTCCCATGAAATTTATAGCCTCTGAAAACCCGCTGGAGAGTCAAGTATGTCTATTTCAACTCAACAGCACATAACCACAACAACAGGCAAAAGAACAAAGAAATCTGTCTTGAAAGAGGCACAACCAAAGTGCTCCTTAAAGGCAAAGATGACAAAACCTTATCACATATACTTTGGGCATGTTGGCAGGAGGTGCTAGTCTTTAGTAAAAGACATTATATTTGGAAAAGCAGAGGGTCAGAGCATGAGAGGAGGACCTTCAGTGAAGTGGACTGACACATACCTACAATAATGAACTTGAGCATGGCACAAGGCAAAGCTAAGCTCTGTTGTTCGTCGGGTGATTAGGACTCAGAATTGGCTCAATGGCACCTAACCACAACAGATACAGGACCTAGGACAGGCAAGAAAGCTAGAGTTTTGCCACACAGTCCATATATATTTGATAGGAGTTGTTTCCCCAAAGAGATTCCTTTTTCATCTGATTGGTTGCTCACAGCATACCTCATCATGAGATGATTACATCATCATGTATCTTCCAAACTATATCATAACTGCCAGACTGGAGTATCGTGGCCCAGCTGTGCCACCTTAATCACAGAAGTGAGCAGGTGAAATATGAAGTGTATTGACCAGGGGACCGCTCTCCACAGAGAGAACAGCATATGCACTGGCCAAAGGCACCAGAGACTGGCTGTTGTTAGAATTGTAGTTAGCCCTGAAACTCACAAGTGACCAAAGGCTCCCTGGCCTTTCAGCATCTCTAGTACCAGGTCTGTGTCAGACTGTTGTGCTGAATCAAGTTTTCATTGGGCTGGTTTTGAAAGTGCAGCCCTTTCTCTTTCTTCCTAGCCTACCTTCGTCCGGATGTTCTGCCAAAACCTGTTTAGCCTCCCAGCAACATGCGCGCCTCACCCACAGGTGGGCATCAGCTGTGCAGGAGGAGCACTGGCTGGAGATCCAACCTGAGTCTTCTATGTGGAAACTGAGAATTGAACCACGAGCCATGGTGTCCTTGTAGGAAGGGCCAGCCTGGGACTGTGGAGTTAGCTGCTCCTTCCGCCGGCCCTGCAGGACAGAGTAGAACTGCCCCAGAGTGTATCCAAGCAAGAAACTATAAAAGCAGACCGCCACATTTTTCTCTAGCTCACAGTGTGTTTGAACTTCTGGCCTTCAGTTGGCAGCCAAGCATTTAACCGCTGCACCACCTGAGCTCCTGGTAGGGAAGACTATACTGTGAGGTATCCACAAATCTGTTCCAACTCATATCAATTCTTTGTGCAAAAGAGCAAAACCCCCTTCACCCCCATCGCTGTATTTAAGCCCATTACTGCAGATACTGGTGTCAATCAGTCAACCATTGAGGGGTTTCCAGTTTTCCCTGACTTTTTTTAGATATTTTTTTTATTTTATTATTTTTGTGTGCGTGTACCGTCAAATCAGATCTGCCTGGTACAGGAGGAGATTGCCCCTCCTTCCCCGGCAGAGCATCTGGTGGATTCGAACCGTGCACCTCTGGGATTGTAGTTGCAGCTTCTTGCCACTAGGCCACCAGAGCTCCCCTAAAAAGGATGTGGCCTCCCCATCAGGGAATCGAACCCCGGTCTCCCACGTGACAGGCGGGGATACTCACCACTATACTAACAAGGACGGCTTCCCTGACTTTTTACCATGATGTCCTGGAACCACAGAGCAGAGCCCTATCAATGCACCTCTGTCCGTGCCCCCCACCCCCAGAGAGGGAGGGGAAAGCATCTCTTCGGGAGGACTGAAGCCATATCTGCCCCTCACAGGGAGACCAGGGCCTTGCCAGGAGAAACTCAGTTGCTCTCTGAGAAATAAGGAGAAGTCGCATTTCTGCAGCTCTCAGCTCCTAAGCTGAGACGCAAACCCTCGCATCGTTTATTGTCTTAGAAACTGCCAGATGCTGAAACTATCCAGGAACAGCAGGAATATGTGGCCAGGTCTCGTCCCAGCATCCTCTTCTGAGTCCTGTGACTGTGATTTCTGCCGATCTAACCAGGAAACGACGTGTGCTGTTCTGATCTGCATTTCCCCACCTCCCCGGAAGGCTGAACGGCTCTTCAAAGCGCTCATTAGTCCCTAGCATTTCCTCTTCACGGAATTCCTATTCATGGCTTTTGCTTGATTCTCTAAAAAGCAATTTGTCCTTTATTTTTTTTCTTATTAACTGGAAAGTGTTCTCTGCATTCACAAGATCATGACATCTGCAACTTGGATGATGTTCTTTTCATATTAATTTTTGCATTACTGATTCGGCTGCCAGTCCAAAAGTATACCATTCGAATCCATCAGCTTCTCTGTGGGAGAAAGTTGGGCAATTTCTTTCTGTGAGATTTCCTGCCTCTGAAAACCCACTCTATGGGCAGGTTTGGGTGCACAACCACCACCACCTTGATTAAGCAGACCTCTCCAAAGTTTTCTAAATATCCTCTGTTTTCTTCTCTTTAGTCAAGAACTGCAGCCTTCAATATGGATTGAAGCTCAAGGTCAAGGAAACAAAGATTCTCATCACTGGGCTGATTGGCAGCACCATGATGGATCGTAAAGAGACTGAGATTATTGACAGCTTTAGTTTGCTTAGCTCTGCACTCTTGGTACCAGCAGCCAGGAAATTAAAAGACTAATTGCATTGGGAAAGTCTGCTTCCAGAGACTTCTCCAAAGCACTGAAGAGCAACAATGTCAGTCTGGAGACTAAGGTGCACCTGATTCAGACCATGGTCTTTGAAATTACTTGCTATGCATCAGAGACCTGGACAATAATTAGGAATGATAGAAGGAGAATTGATGCCTTTGAGCTATGGTGTGCTGGAAAAGAGTATTGAATATACCAGATCTGCTCCTTGAAGGCAAGGATCCTGCAACTTCACCTGACACACTTTGGACATGTCTGCAAGGCGGGATCAGTCCTTGGAGAGGGACATCATGCTTGGGAGGGTGGAGGGACAGCATAGAAGAGGAAGATCCTTGATGAGATGGATTGATTCAGTGACTGGGGTAAGGGGGGTAGGTGTGTCAGAGACAATAAGATTGGCACAGGATAGAGCAGGGTTTAGGGCTACTATACATAGGGTCACTATGAGTTGCAGGCAACTTGACAGAACATAACAACAACATCTCGTCCACGTCATATGTATGTATGTGTGTGTGTCTGTATACATATACATATACATACATATATACATACATATATATATATATACACACACATATACATACACACACACATATACTGATGTAGTGGGTCAGAAAGGCCTCCAGCACCCATGGAATGCATAGCCAAGGGTGAGGATCCCTGTTCACATTCCTTCAGACAGTAGGTAGACAACCCTGCTATCTCTTCCTCTCGAACTGTCCCCGACCTAGGAGCTGAGGGTCCTTTCTTTCTGCCCCACCGACATTGGCCTTTTCTGAATCACGCACGCCACAGGCTGGAGCAGAAGGCTGTCTGCCTTCTCAGCCCCCACCCCAAGCTCCCGTGAAGTACCTGCCTCCTTGCTAAGCGGTAGTGATCAATTCCACACGGGTTTGCCACATCACTGTGTGAACGATGAACCTCCTATGAAATTGTGTGTCTCAAGTTAGTAAAGTAGCATAAAGTTAGCCCATGTCATGCGTCTATACATTATATATATAAATATATATATATACATACACAAATTCACAAGCACACAAGTTCCCACCCGATTTAGGACATATCCTAAGTAAGCTCATTTGCAACATCTGGTTGGTTTGTTTTTATGGGAGCTCCGGTAGTGTAGTCTACAGGGGGGGGGGGTGCTGCTAGCTCAAAGGTTGGGCCTCTCTGCAGTTCGGATCCACCAGTCTCGGAGAGAAAAATGGCCCATGTCCTGCCATGGCTAACTTGAAAAGGGGCTGTGACTGTGCAGAAAGGTTAGCTGTGAGGTTAGCCTAGAGACTGAACCCAGCCCTACTTAGGAGCATGTCTGATGTGGGGGAAACGTGAGGCGAGTACTGCAGATTAGCAAGTGCAGTGCGCGCTCGCTCGCCTGTTTCTTGGGTAATCTGACTGCATGTGCCTGTCTCGCTCCCACCGCGCCGCCTGCGCCCGGCCTGCTGGCGCTGATGTGCTGCGGCCTGCAGGGGGCGCGCAAGCGCAGCCCGGCCGCTGTCAGTCGGTGGCCCCGCGCTCAGGCTGGAGCAGGAGTTGGTCGCCAGTCCTGCAGAAAGCCCAAGTCCCCACTGCCAGCGGCAGGTGCCACCCGCCCTGCCATGCGAGCCGCCGTCGCTGCGGCAACCAGAGGCAGGACCGGGGTCCCCGATGGGGATGAGAAGTGAGCGGGAGGGGACCCGAGGGACAGAGGAGGAGGACGGCTGACCACGGGGGGCCAGCGGGCTGCACTTCTACCCCGGCAGGCAGGACACAGAGCAAAGTTCTCTGTCTTTTCTCTCGCTCTCTCTGCCTCTGTCTTGTGTCAGTCTGTCTGTCTTCCTCTGCCTGCCTGTGTCTTGTCTCTGTGGACGTGTCTGTCTCTCCTCTGTGTGTGAGTGGGTGTGTCTGTCGCTCTGCCTCGTTCTGTCCATCTGTGTGTGTGTGTGTGTGTGTGTGTGTGTGTGTGTTGCACTCTCTCTGTGCCTCCAGTTGCTAATCAGTCTGTGTGTCTTGCTCTCTCTGTCCTTGTGGGTGTGTGTCTGTCTGTCTGTCTGTCTCTCTCTCTCTGTGTGTGTGTGTGTGTGTGTGTGTGTGTGTCTTGCACTCTCTCTGTGCCTCCAGTTACTAATCAGTCTGTGTGTCTTGCTCTGTCTGTCTCTGTGCGTGTCTGTCTGTCTCTCTGTGTGTCTTGCTCTGGTGTGTCTCTCTTCCCCCCTCTTTTATTCTGGGCAGTATAAACCCTAAGTCCAGACTGGACAGGCCCCCCAAGAGTAGCAGGTGGCCAAAAGGTCTCTTCCTGCGGTCAGCCGCTGACCCTTCTGGGAGCAGCGGTCCGGGACCCCGTGGAGCCATGAACACGTCCTGCTGCCCAGGCCCCGCTCAGCCCACACCACCTGGCGCCTCCGCACCCCCCACGGCTGCAGCCAACCAGAGCGCAGGCGCCTTCTGCGAGCAAGTCTTCATCCATCCCGAGGTCTTCCTGGCGCTGGGAGTGGCCAGCCTGCTGGAGAACATCCTGGTCATCCTGGCCGTGGCGCGCAACGACAACCTGCACTCGCCCATGTACCTCTTCCTCTGCAGCCTGGCCGTGGCCGACATGCTGGTGAGCGTGTCCAACGCGCTGGAGACCATCATGATTGCCGTGGTCAGTGGCGACCACCTGGCCTTCGAGGACCGCGTGCTCCAGCACATGGACAACATCTTCGACTCCATGATCTGCATCTCCCTGGTGGCCTCCATCTGCAACCTGCTGGCCATCGCCGTGGACAGGTACGTCACCATCTTCTACGCGCTGCGTTACCACAGTATCATGACGGTGAGGAAAGCCCAGGGCCTGATCGCCGCCATCTGGCTGGGCTGCGGCGTGTGCGGAGTGGTCTTCATCGTCTACTCGGACAGCAAGATGGTCATCGTGTGCCTCGTGACCATGTTCTTCGCCATGCTGCTGCTTATGGCCACGCTGTACGTGCGCATGTTCCTCTTCGCGCGCCTGCACGTCAAGCGCATCGCCGCCCTGCCGCCCGCAGAGGGGGCGCCCCCGCCCCAGCACTCCTGCATGAAGGGCGCCGTCACCATCACCATCCTGCTCGGGGTCTTTATCTTCTGCTGGGCCCCCTTCTTCCTCCACCTGATCCTCATCATCACCTGCCCCACCAACCCCTACTGCGCGTGCTACACGGCCCACTTCAACACCTACCTGGTCCTCATCCTGTGCAACTCGGTCATCGACCCCCTCATCTACGCCTTCCGGAGCCTGGAGCTGAGAGACACCTTCAAGGAGATTCTCTGCGGCTGCGGGGGCACGGGCTAGGGCGCAGGGCACACGGGGATGGCCCCCAGGCTGGCCACGCCAGAGCCTGCTGGGTGTTTCCAAAGGAGAGGATGAGGCTTAGGAGACCCAACAAACATGTTCCCAGCCGTGACTGTGACTGTATGTGTCTCTTCCTTTTCAAAGTTGCAAAGTCTTTTGAAAGGAAGAACCGTGCCCGTTCTTGGAAGGGATGGGTAAGTTGCTCACTCTGATTTCCCAATGATCCTGGGACTAACGAGGGCAGATGTTCAACCGAAGGCTGCCTGCATTCATTCCTAGACGCCTGAGTGTGTGTGCAACGCCTGCCCCCTGCCCCTTCCTCTGCTTCCTCTCAAGCCAGACCCGAGGAGTCTCAGGAACAGGGACGGTGGGTCAGTTCTCACTAGCAAACCCTCTGCAGCCCCGACTTCCCAGCTGCGTGGCTGACTATGCGCTGCGTTTCCAAGAGACAAGTCTGTCCTCTATTGCTCTTACTCGCAGTAAAACAGTCTCAGCACAATCAACTCTTGGGGGGGGGTGGGGAAGGCAACGAATGCCGGGCTATTTCCAGCCTCTTGCCTCCCTGCTAAGCCCCTCCCCAAATAAACAAGAGGGTGTGACTCATTTCTGGCTTAGCTGCTGCTGCTGCAGTTGTTGTTGTTGTTGTTGTTGTTGTTGTTGTTGTTGTTGCCGTTGTTGTTTTGGCTCCTTGAGGGGGGAGGTTCTTCAGGTGTTAAATCTAAATAGCCGTCCAAATGTCGATAGAAGAGAGATCCTATCAAAACATCTGTGAAGTCTTTTGATACCTTGCGATTTAAAATTGTAAATTATGATGGACAAAATCTTTTCCCCCTATTATTCTTTTTTCTGTCTTTAAAACAAGAGTGGGCACGGTTCAGGGAGCGATTGTCATGAGCAATTGTTTTTCTGTTGCTTTAAGTCATTGGGGAAAAAACAAAAACCTGTCAGTAGCCAGGAAACACGGTGTTTTGCTGGACAAACCACTTTCCTTTTGTTGTACCCACGGTGGTGTCACTGTCACAGGGTTTCCTCCGCCCTGTCAGGAAAGAGGAGGATGTTTTGCCTCTGGTTTCTGGTCCATCACTGCACAGAATGTTCAAGTTGAGGTGACCCTGTTTGTATCATCTAGTTTGTATGTACCTAGTTAAGTGAAGAAGCCCATTCCTGTGAGCATGGACGGGGTGCTGGACTGGAGAGCCAAGGATGGAGGGCTCCTGAGCCCTGCCCAGCCCTGGGGAGCTGTGTACCCCCAGCTGCCCTCTGTCCCTCTTCCCGTGAATCCTCGTGAGGCTGCATCCCTGCTCAGCCGAGTTGTGGTCATCGTGTACTGGAATCTAGTGGCCTTTTTTTTTACAAGCTGGGAGCCCTCCTGCCAATATAAGCAATCCCTGTGTCACCAGCTTTGTGATGTTTGGAAACAATAAAATGCTGCTGTGGCTGCTGCGTGTGTTCTGTTTGCCTCACTGCTGCAGTCCAGGGGTCGTGCTGGCCGCCCACCAACAGCCCCCCACCCCACCCACCCCCAGCCCATCTTCTCTAGGGCCCCATCTCTGAGCCGAATTACAGAACTCTCCCTTTTCATTTCAAAAACTACCCGGCTGTATTTCCTGGAATCTCTGGTGCTTCTGCTGAGATCCCCACATTATTTTCATCAGGACACCAAGGGCTCTGACCTGCTCATGTCACGAGGCAAACGTGGGAAACTGGCAGCTGAGTTGGTCAGAAAGCGAGTCACTAACGGCTTGGGAAGCACTGTGGTCCTTTCTGGGTAACCTAAACCCAAACCCCTGCCATCTAGTCAGTTCGACTCACAGCGAGCCTACCTGTGGTTTCTGAGGCTAGGAACGCCTATGGGAGGGGACTGGCCATCTTTCTTTCACAAGCAGCTGGTGGATTCAAATTATCGACCTTTCGGTTAGCAACCCAGCATGTAAGGCACTGCACCACTCTTGTGGTGGCTCCCTGCCCTGGAGTAGGGACTGACTGACAGCTGACCCTCCAGCAGGTCTTCGGAGGTTGGGATCCAGGTATCTGGAGGTTGGCATCCAGGTCTCCAGAGGCTAGGATCTAGATATACAGGAGCTGCATCCAGGCCTCCAGAGGCTTGGATCCAGGTCTCTAGAGGCTGGGATCGTGCTGGAGGAGACGGTCTGCTTCTCTCCTGTGGTGCCGTCAGTGGATTCAAACTGCTCACCTTCCCATTGGAGGCACAGCTCCTGACCCACTTGTCCCCCACTGCTCCCTGCTACAGCACACGGGCTCCCCTTTTCTAAATAAACAAAGTAAAAGTACCTGACTTTTCATCTTTTTAAGCCATTCATTCTAGCCTCTCGCCACACTAATAAACCAGGGTGAAGACACTCAGTCCCAGGGAGGTGGGTGGTGGCTGGTCAGGCACTCTGCTCAAGAATGTTCAGGGAAGGAAACAATCATAGGGGCTCCTCAAAAGTTAAACGTCAACTAACAAATAACCCAGCAATGCCACGCTCAGATGTAGACTTAAAATAATAAACAAAATCACATAAAAGCAAGGAACTATACAAAGGCCTTGGTGCCCAGTGTTCACAGCAGCACTAGTCACAACAGCCAGAAATGGAAATGACCAAAGTCCCAGCAAAGAAGAGGGGAGCGTACAACGGGCTCTGTACACAAAGGGGCAGCTGTCCAGACCTGAAGAGAAGTGAAGTCCTGACACACACTCCCACATGGACGGACCAGGAAAGCAGGCTGAGTGAGGTCAGGCAATATGCAACCAAACGCCCAAACCCTGCTCGCCATCAAGTTCACTCTGATTCTGAGTGATCCTGCAGGACACACTCGAACGGCCCCTTGGGATTCCTATTCATCTATGTGAGAGCAGATGGCCTCACATTCTCCTGCAGAGGGCTGGTGGGTTCGAACAGCTGACCTTTTGGTTAGTAGCTGAGTGCTTTAACCACTGCATCCACCAGGGCTGCTAAATCCGACCCAAAAGGCCATATACTGTATGATCTCAGGTCTAAGAAGTATCGAGAAGAGGCAGGGAGCTCTGGTGGCAAGAAGCGGTGCTATAATCCCAAAGGCAGAGAGTTCAAGGCCACCAGCTACTCCACAGACGAATGGTCAGTCTCCTCCCATGCAATTAACTGCCTCTGAAAACCCACCGGAAGGTCAGCTATGGGCCAGTTCCAACTCTACGGTACACAACAACAGAAGAGACGGGTGTATACAGCCTGAAAGGACAGCAGCGGTGAGCACGGCTGGATGGGGTGGGGGCGGGGTGGGTACATAAGAAGGGGGGACGGGGAGAACATCTCTCACGGCGATGACAAAGCGTTGGAAATAGATGGTGCTGTTGGCTGTTCAGCATGACGAATGTAATTATGACCACTGAATTGTACACTCAGAAAGGTTAAAACGGAAAATGTTATATTATCTGCACTTTTCCACAATAATTTTTAAAAAGGCTGTTCAGTTAGCATAGGTCAGCATGTCCTGGCACTTCGTCCCAGTGCTGTCCTGGAGGCCAATGCCATCTAAGTGAGGCCCACTCCCCTCCCTACACATCTCACCCTGCAGCAGCCCGACCAAACGGGGGAGAGGGGCACAGGAACCCCAGGGGCAAATATTCAAGTGCAGAATCCAGGAGGCCTGCTGTTGTGATACAAGGAGGAGGGCCCCCAGGAAGCGCTGGGGCCAACATTTAAGTTCAGAGGCTAGGAGCCTGTTGTTATGAACCACGTGGTCGACTCCAGGTCATAGCGACCCTACGTATACGCTCTCAGCCCTGCTGAATCCTGAGCCAAACTCACTGACTTCAACACACCTACCCTACTACCATAGTCACTGTGTCAAAGCATCTCATTCAGGGGCTTCCTCTCCTGCACTGTTCCCTCCACCCTTCCAGGCATGACGTCCTTCTCCAAGGACTGGTCCCTCCTGGCCACGTGCCTAAACTATGTGAGATGGAGCTTCAAAATTCTGCTTCCAAGGATCAGCTTGGTTTCACCCTCTCCCAGACAGACCTGTTTGTTCTCTTGGCAGTCCACGGTGTGGTCAACACTCTTGTCCAACATCAGCTCAAAGGCACTGATTCTTCTTCTGTAATCTTTGGCCACTGTGCAACTCTAGGAGGCCCAGAAATCTGCATTTCTAACAAACTCCCAGGGGGCACAGGGCTGCAGGTCGGGCACCAACAGCGACTCAGTGGGATGCAGGGATGCAGGTCCAGGGCCCAAAGGAGCTCAGTTGAACTCTCATCTTCTGCCCATGGAGGCTTGCGCATGGCGGTGATACCGAAGTGTTTCCAGATTAAGAAAGAAAAGGATAAAAGGCCTGTAAATCTACTCCCAAACCTCAGTCAAGGAAAATCCTATCTGTCACAGGGCCCAGTCCACAATCAATTATGGGACAGCCCAGGAAGGGACAGCATTTCTGTCCACTCTGCCATTTCCATGGCAGGGCTGACAGGGTAACAGCTAACAAAAACAAGAAAGGACTCGCAAAGAAGATCTTTTTGGTGGCACCACCAAACACCCACCTGATCACCACATGTATGAAAGCTGAGTGACACTGGTGACATGACTCACATGTACCACCTTTCCTTCTCCATCCCTCTGGATTCCTCACTGTAAGACTCTCTGTCTCTGACAGTTCTCACCTGTGCTTTCAAGGGGCTGTTGTCAGATTAAACTCAGATGTGTCTTCCTAAGGTGCCAGGAGCTCTGCGGGCACAGTCTGGAGGGAGCTGCACGGCCTCCTCCGAAGCAAGATGCTTTTACTGCTACCCCACCACGCCTCCTTTAACAGACACTAAGTTCCAGAGTTCCCTTCTGATGCTGCTCTCCTGTCCTCAGTAGGACAGGCCTCAGCTCAGACCCCGATGCTGTCCTCTCTGTGTTGAATCATAGTGGGTCTCAAAATCTCAGCTTCCACATCTGTAAAACGGGCCAACAGTGGCAACTCTCCAGGCTGCTTTAAAAGCCAAGAATCAGGAATTGTTGAGTGCTGAGTGTCAGCAC